ATTTTGTCTCGGATAACGAACAACCAAATTTTATTTTAAAAATTGTTATTTTATTTCCATTTGTGTAAATTTACAATTAGCTATTAAAATGAAACGAGAAGAAACATTTAAAAAGTAATTTAATTAATAATAAATTTATTTAAATATAGGGCTATATAAAATAATTTTAATTTTTTTAAAAATATCTTTTACATAATTGGTGCTTAAGGAAAATGCATTAATTTTCACGTTTCATCATTAGCGAATTCTTTTGCATTATTCATAAGTTTAGAACAAATTGATTCGTTTAGGGGGGAAGGTTAGAAAATAAAAAATTCTGTATATAATTAATTAATTGGGAGAGACTCATTACTGTTTGTGTATTGTCGAAAAGTTACATTTTCAATTATCTTAATTGATGTCGGAAGATTTGAAGTTACTTATGAAACTATCGTCATTCAAGATTCCTATTGAATATTAATGGTAGCATGATATATACAGAAGTTTATATATTTTAATTAATGGCGATCTATTAATTGATCTTGAAAATTAAATGTAACTTTGGTAAAATCTTTTAGTTTATGCAATTTAATTGTCTTAAATTATTTTTAAAATATTTCACATCAAGAGAAGGAGAAACTTTGTAGGAAAAATGTAGAAGAAACTCGTTTAGGGCCTGGTTTTAAATTTATAAGTTTGAAGAGACCTTTCCTCTTTAACGAATAGGAAACGATTTTAAAATGAGAGATTCTAATTATATTCTCGTAGTGTGAGGCCCTAAATTATAAGTTGTTTAGCTTATATGTATGTTAATGTATGAGTTCTTATGCGTGTAAATGTATAGAAATGATAACGAAATAAAATGGAGAAGAAAATATTTTATAAAATTTTAATTTACACTTGAAAATTTTAGATGTTTTTCTTTACTTATAACAGTGGCGTAGCGTAGTGGGGGCGGCAGGGGCGGCCCGTCCCGGGCGGCAAAATTTCACAGTAAATAATAATAATATCTTGTAAAAGTTTGAACCATTTTATCCCATATTATCGTCCCACCTACGATTCGGACCGACTGAGATGAGCACGGAATAGTCCGAGAATTGACTCACCGTCCGGGTGAACTATTAATTTCACCCGGTGATGCAGTGCTGCAGCCTGTCGATCTTTTTTTTTTTTTTTTTTGCTTGTACGATTCATTTGTATTCATATACACCTCCAATATCCAATGGAGCTATTTTAAACAGGTGGCTACACTGGCAAGGAAATTTTCATTACTTGCTCTCATACGAAACTAAATTTTAGTCTTTTAAATTGAGATACTAAATAACGGGACGGCGAAATTTTCCTCCGCCCCGGGCGTCTGACACCCACGCTACTCCACTGACTTATAAATATATGAATTTATAACATTATAAATAAATGTTGTCGGGTAAAATCGTATATGTCTTGGACCACTTATTACAATAAAAGGTTCACTAGTGGTGGAGTGAATAAATGCACTGATAGACCATAATATAATCCAGGTTGGTTAATCAAAAAACAAATATGATTAAATCGACCNATTCATATACACCTCCAATATCCAATGGAGCTATTTTAAACAGGTGGCTACACTGGCAAGGAAATTTTCATTACTTGCTCTCATACGAAACTGAATTTTAGTCTTTTAAATTGAGATCCTAAATAACGGGACGGCGAAATTTTCCTCCGCCCCGGGCGTCTGACACCCACGCTACTCCACTGACTTATAAATATATGAATTTATAACATTATAAATAAATGTTGTCGGGTAAAATCGTATATGTCTTGGACCACTTATTACAATAAAAGGTTCACTAGTGGTGGAGTGAATAAATGCACTGATAGACCATAATATAATCCAGGTTGGTTAATCAAAAAACAAATATGATTAAATCGACCTGGAATCGCATCCATCGTGGTCGAGGGTTCGAGCCTCACCAATAGGCTGACTACGTGTAGTTTTCCGGGTTTTTTCACCTGTCTAATACCTAAATAGATGTCAGTTTTTTATAAAAAAAAAAGGCCTCCTGAGAAGCATATTCTTAACAGATTGTCCGTATGGTTCGTTGTCGTATTCTAACAAACTAAATTATCAAATTTACAATAATCTAAAACTTTCGGGAAAATTTAAGATGAATCTTACGTTTAACGATTGAGAATTTTTTGTAAAAATCAATTATTTTTATTTAATTATTTAATATTATTTTATAAACTTTCATTGCCAGAGATTCTCAGAGGTCGAGAGAGAGAGATTACACCCTTATCCTTTTGAGGCCCTAAAGTAATAAAAACAAAATAACGTTAACAAATTTTATTTTTTAAATGAGTAAAAATTTTAAAATATATGCTCTCGATTTTAATAATGTCTTGCCCCTGTACATCACACTTTTCTTGATAACGACAAAATCATACCGGTCATTTATCTTACTCCTTTCTCGAGATTAGGGAAGAGACAGACAGACAGGCAGACAGACGGCTATAGGAATTTTATAGAGCTGCAATTTTCAATTGCATCTCTATAATGAAATTTGACAAAAACATTTTTTTCCTCCTAACACACAAGAAATAGAGGGGAAAGCATTAAAAATACTTTTGAGGCCTACTTCAATGTAAAATCCTGCCCAAATGGCCTTAATGGATCACGTGATAGAAATAAGAAACGTTTTTCAGGCCCCATAAATTTAAGAAATAATTTACGAGGCCTCAAAAACATTTCTTATAAATTATTCAATCCCAGGCCCTTTCATGGGATCCAGCCAACGAGATAATATATATCTAATTAAATTATTATAGAAATTTATTAGAGATTAATATTACTTAATAAATATTGATTTTAAAATAAAATATAGTCCTACACAAACACATATAAATCTGAAAAAAAATCAATCAAATTTTATTAACTTAAATTTTCCACTTCAGTAGCATTTTATTAAAATAAATATATTATTTATTAAAGGTTTTACGATTGGTTTTTGTCAAAGATCTACCGAAAATTCACTTTGATTTATACTTAATTGAGGATATAAAGCATATTTGTGGGCTTGTATTATTTATTTATTTTTTTTTTCCTATTGTAACCCTCAGAATGTTTCCAATTCGTTTGGTAATACCGTAGACGGATTGCAGAAAATAGCAATTTTTCAAAATAAAAAATAAATAAAATAAAATATGACAAGAATGCTTTTGCTGTTTGTTGGGATATAATTTTATTGTGACGTGTTTACAGAATTTTTCCTACTGCAATGGATGCGAAGGGGCAAAGTTTAGTCAAAAATACTACCTTTTTTATCATCACGGTGCACAGCCAACTTTATACTTCTTGAAATCCACTCAAATATTTCATACTTTTCTACAAAAATTTATCAAAATACACATATATATATATATATAGACCTGTATAAAANGTAAAATATCACAGTAATTCACAGATACTGTATTTAAATTTTTAAGGAAGATCCGTTCACGCGATTTATCAAAGTGGAGTTAATTAGGAGGGCGTTATATAGATGTTTAACTGTGTATATTAAACGATTTTTCTAATTATCAATTTAAAATTTTATATTATATAATATAAAATTTTAAATTGATAATTAGAAAAATCGTTTAATATACACAGTTAAACATCTATATAACGCCCTCCTAATTAACTCCACTTTGATAAATCGCGTGAACGGATCTTCCTTAAAAATTTAAATACAGTATCTGTGAATTACTGTGATATTTTACATCGTCATTCCATTACTAAATCGAGTAGCACTTCGGTTTAGCGCCACACTCGATTTAGTAGCTGTTTTAGAGACGAATGAATAGTGGAGGTAGATCAATGTTCGCTATTTTTTTATTAATTAAGATAGCATATTGATGGTGTATGTAATTTTAATTATATTTTTAACTTATTTACTTTAAAATATATTCTCTCGATCTCAAATTAGTAGTGTCTTGCCCCTGTGCATCACACTTTTCCTGATAACAACTGAGTCGTGCGGGCCATCTATCTAACACCATTCTCGAGATTAAGGAACGACAATCAGACAAACAGTGGGAATTTATAGGTCTACATTTTTTTTAAATTGCAGCATAACAGTATAGTAAAACTTCGATTTAGTGCCACCATTTGTTTTACCTCTGAAATTGTGCGTTACCCACTAAATCGTATGTGGTGCTAAATTGGAGTACCTCAAACAATAAGAATTGTAAAGACCTTGTTATTTCGTATTTTGAACTCGAGATTTTTACAGCACGTGATTTAAGTGATAACATTTTCGTTTACAGTGCAAAATCGAAATTTTAATCATAAACACGTGCTAAAGACTTTTCTATTTAGTGTTTATGATAAAGTTCTATTAGCAATTTACGAAAGGGGCGCAATATCGGGGTTTGAATTATAATTTAATAAAAATTATAAAAATATATCATTTTATTTTACAAATTTTTATTGTTAAAATCAATGGCATTTTTGATTTTCATTATTTCAATATTGTATTATATTAAACAATAAAAATAAAATAATAATAGATTTACTGTAAATTAAAAGAAAAATGTCTACAAATTTTAGTGCAAATCAGGTAATGTTTTTAAATTAAAAATTAATTTAAAAAATAAGAATTTATTTCTTAGAGAATGTGAAAATATTTTTAAAATAATATTTTATGAATTAATTGCAAGTTAACATTACTGAAAATACTAAGTTTTAATTTAATGATACATACGTTTTGTAATTAATAACCGTATTAATGAAGAAAATTGCTTATTTTCATCATTAATGCGAATATAATTACTGATTTCATTATCTCAGCATAATTACTTACTGCTTGATTTATTAAGAACTAATCCCTTATAACTTTTTATTTTTATTTTTAAGTAGGTCAGAAAACTTTTCTTTAAATAATATATATATATATATACGCATATTAATAATTTTAAAATATTAATTTAAAATGTTATGACCTACTTTCGTGTTTTCTGAATTAATTTAGTATGAAGATGCATTTATATCAACGAGACTTTGTCAGTATCAGATATGCAGAAATTTCATAAAAGTAAGAGGCTTTACTTGTTAATTATTAATAAATATATAAATAACTATGTTTTTATTTTTCTTGTTGTTGTATAACAGAAGGAAAGTATTTCAATCGGCCAAAAAAATGGCCCCCCCCTAAGATTGAGTCAAAACATGTAAAAATCTTAGGGGGCAAAAAATGGCCCCCTAAGATTTTTACATTTTTTGACTCAGGGCACTTTGAAACGTCGAGAAATGCAAAAAATCCGGTGTTTTTTCTGTACGTATGGATATTATGTGTGGGATACCATTTTGTTCTCCCACTTTGAAACTTGGTAACTCCCTTGCCTTTTATCGAAAATTTCTGAAATTTTGCAGGGAGTTTTGTGTATTAGGGGAAATATTTATAGTAATTTTCAGGAATATTGAACTATTGGTTTGGGAGATATTGGAGACTATATCTGAAAAAGCTTCCAACTTATCAATTGTTTTTTTATTGTTGTTGTTTTTCTTATTCGTACGGATTTTTAGTTTACCAAAAAATAAATGTATTTGTTTGGAAAATTTTTCAATAAACTAATCTTTTTCGCCTGAAAAGTTATGCAACTCGTTGCTAAAGTTTTTAAGTTTCCATGTATTTGGAGTATTTATATCGTGCAACTTTTGCTGTTCGTAATCAATACTAAGAATAAATAGAAACTTAAGTTTGAAGAATTACCAGAATATGTACGGTTACACAATACATATTATTTAGAGATTATTACCTGTTTCCAAGTTAAATCACCAGCTTGCTATTCTAGAACATCGGTATTCCGTGGTAGTTTTGGTCATGTGTTCGTCAACATGGAGTTTTTTTACGTTTGTAACAACTAAACAGGGGCCAATTTTTTTCTCAGGAAGCATCCCATGTGATGAGTAGTTGTATATAAAACAACAAGTAAAAATATAATTAATGCAAAAATAAGTTGCATTTTTTAGAATTAATTGCTACACAACAATTAATGTTCTAATTGTGTTATATAAATTTTACAGTGGCCCAAACGTCAAATTGAAGGAACCAAACCAATAGCTGATGATAATGGTTATCTGTTTACAAGAAAACCGATAGATCGAAACTCTCCTCGAAGCGATATTCATAGTCCGTGGGAACCAATACATAAAGGTCCAGGTAAAAATCTATAATGCAGTGTTTCTATGTAGGTGCTTAATTAAAATGTTGCATTTTCATTAAATATTAATTAAAGTAAATACCTCATACTTAATTTTAATTGTCATTATTATAAAATAAGACAAGTTGTTATAATATACAGTATAAATTAGACTTGTTGTTTAATCGATAATACAATAAAATATGTCACATGATACTTGTCAATTAATAATTAACAATCCCTAATTAACTCTTCCTATTCAAAAAAAGCTGGCGAGGATCTTACTCGACTTTTCTACAATTCGAACAGGAGGACCATTAAGAGGTCTACAAGGAAAATTTTATATCCTAGTCTAATTTTAATTCTAAGTAATAACAAAAGCTTAAAAGAAGTAACTTTCTTGAATTGTGATAAAAATCTCCATTTATAAAAATATTTAAATAATACTATGAACACTAGGTGAAAGACAAAATTGTGTAGCACAATCTGTTATGAGACGTTATTAAAAATAACTTTTATATTATTAATTATTATAAAAAGGCTTAAAATTTTGAGGATACAAATGGGTTTTTAAAAATATTATAAGTGTCAATAAAGAGTAAAATTTTCATTGACCAACCCCACTCGAGATATGATACGTGACCCCTCTCCATCTCCCCACTCCCTTGAATTCCGAAATTTAATAGCATCAATGTTTCTTCTATACAAGTTACCGTACCATATTTCGTTTCTTAATCTTTAATCCATCCTGAGATATTAAACGAGACAGATGCCAACACACACCTAAGGAATTTTTCCCTGAATTTTGACTTTTTTAGGTTCAAGAGATACCATAACGTCTAGTCAAATTTGACACAATTACAATACTTTCCCGTGTTATGCTATAACAGCCAGAAAAGTAAAATCACGAGAGATTGGAACGGATTCGAACTTAGATCTTCCTGCTTATCACACGATGTATACGATGTATGTATAAGATGGTATTTTGGTGTTTCTCACGGGACAAAAACTATCAAGGCTTCTGAGAAGTTGAGAGACACTCGGACCACTCACTTTTTTTGTGGTCTCTCTAGTATATAAAAAAAGAATATGGAAATAATAAAATTTGACAAAAATAAAGGATTATTTTCTTAATACCTTTAAAAAGAAATGCAATGGAATGAATAATGTGTAAAAAATGTTTTTGGGGCCCCAGAAATATGAAGTCTGGGCCAAATTGCCTTGCTGACTTCTATGAGAGGGTCTAGAAAAACAATTTTTGTTAGGAAATTTTTCCTAACATAAAAAAAGTCAGCAACGAGTTGCGTAACTTTCCCAGAAAAAAAAATTTTAATTGTAGTGGCGTCATCTGTTATAATATTTTATTTTTAAAAACTTTTTATATTATTAATTATTATAAAATGACAAAAAAAAAGTTCATTTTAGGGTAGCGATGAGTTTTATAAAAAAATTTAAAAATTGTAAATGCTAATAACGAATAAAATTGTCATTAAGTCCGACCCCACTCGTGATACGACATATGATCATCCTCTATCTCCACATCCTCTTGACTTTTAACCTCCAAAATTTAATGGCATCAATCACTCTAATACACAAACCTCTTTGCAAAATTTCAGAAATTTTCGACACAAAGCACAGGAGTTATTAAGCTTTAAAGTGGGTAAACAAAGTTGTACCATCCACACGCAAAATCCCGTGAATTCTTTGATGTTATGTGGATAAATAATTTATCTTTGGATGAATAATTATTTTTGCATTTCTCGATGTTTCAAGGTCCCCGAGTCCAGAAATGTAAAAATCTTGATGGAGGGTCAATTTTTCTGAAACGAAACAGAATAAAAATTATTACATTAATTATTGAACACAAATACAAATTTTTAAATTAATTTTTACAAATTAATTTCTGAAATCTTTACATTGAAACTACTGAAACTACTCTTGTTCTGTGTAAATCTCAATTATTTTAATAATTAAAAAACCATATACAGACATTTTTTCTTGTTATCTAAACTCAAATTTAATAAATGCAATAATTCCTAATTAGAAAAAGAAAACATTCATTTCAATAGAAATATAAATAAACGATTTCAAAATGGATAAAACTCGAAAAGAATATATCAAATTCGGATGGAGATTTATGCAGTGAGTGGAAAATTCGATACTATCTTGGGAAAGGCAACTGCAAGATTTAATGTTAGCTAGGTGGATAATCGATGCAAAGGGGAAAGTTCAAGTAAACAGTTTAAATAAATGGATATTATTTTCTCTTTATTCGATACTCTTTTTTTGTTTCTTGCAAAATTTCTTCTCAAAAATATTTTTTTAATATATATATAATGTATATATATTTTAATAAATTATATAAATATACTGTACAAAGAACTAAAGAATCATGATGTATTGTGTTCATATATATAAGGTATAAGTTATGTACATTTTTGATATTTTAATTTATTGTTTAATATAATTTTTCATCTTCATTATTTTAAAATTTATGTTTATTTCAGTTGTATAAAGAATAATAAAATATATTGTTTATTTTTAATTTTATAAATTGTTATTTCACTTGCTTCATTTGTGTTTTAACATTCTTGAAAATTTTAAGATATTTTTTTATAATTATTATAAATAATTTCAAATGTTTGCTGTCATTTTAATAATATTTTATATGTTTAATGCTTCTCTTATTGCCTCTATATTTTATATTTCTATGTCTCTCCTTAATCTTAATTTTTTTTAGATCTTTAAATGCTTTTAGACCTATTTAAAAGAATTTTTAAGCATAAACCCTTTCTGATATCTTTCTAGATATATTCCTGATGCTTTCCTGATGTCAGGAATAGCAAAGGATCCAGAAAAGCGTTAGAAATCTAGGGAAGAAAAGAACAGGGCATATCCAGATGTCATCTTTCTGGATCCTCTGGAAAGACATATGGATATAAAATATAAAGTTGATAAAATTATAAAACGTTAAAACACAAATGAAGCAAGTGAAATAACAGTTTATAAAATAAACAATATATTTTATTATTCTTCTTCCTGATTTCCAGAATATCCAGTGGCATATGCAGATGTCTTCTTCCTCCTGGATCCCAGAAGATGCAGGAAGAAGACATCCGGATATGTCTTTATCTGGGATGTTTTAATTAAATTAGAAGCTGTATATAATATAAACAAGATGAAATATATTCAGACAAATACAGAATTTATAAAATAAAAAGTTTTTCCTTCTCAAAATAAGTTTATCCTAATTAATCCTGTGAGACATTTACAGAATTATGCCAGAATATTTTTTTAATCCTACCTTACTTAATTCGTTTCAATATAATTGCACGGAAAGAATAAGTATAAAATTTCCAAACTAATGGACATAACTTCTAATTATTTATTAATATTAAGTCTTATTTCTTTTAGGTACTGTAAAGGGAATTTCTGTAAAACCAGGAATTTGGCTTGTATCGGGTAGAAGAGCTAACTGGGTTGAAACTAAATATGATATCAGTCTAGAGCAAAATACTTATAATTACGTTAATATAAATAATGCACATAATATTAATAAAAAGCGCTTTGACATCCCTGGTTGTGGAATGAATTCATGCAATGAAGATAATAGTGACAAATATGAAGCACAGGATTGCAATGAAAATATAGAAAATACTTCAAAATGTGATGAAAATTTAAGTTATCATAATGTAAAAATACCAGATAAAAGTATTAAACATGTTGAAACATGTATAGACAAGAAATCGTGCATCACTACAAAACCTAAATCAAATTCCTGTGCAAGCAAATCTATTATCTCGAAATTTGATATGTTAAATCACTCTAGAATAAGCTTATTAGATGAATATAAATCGAATATTTCGGATCATATTGCATCTATTGATGATAAATCATCTATAACTGGTCCTTTCAAAATGGAGCAATCAAAATGCCCATCTGAAAATGATTTTGGTTCTCTGGAGAACTTGAATGCAAAAGAAGATTATAAATCAATTCCTTCTCAAATATACTCCATAAAAAATGACAAATAAGATTAATCTCCATTATAAATATAGTTGAAAAAATGTTTTAGATTATTATTTTTCAAAATTACTAAGAATTCTGGGTGATTTTTAAAATATTATTTTATAAAATTAATTATAATAAGAAGGTAAATATTTCATTAAAAATTTATTATATATATTTATCTCATGAGAAATATCAAAATTTATTAAAATAATTGTTTATTGTTTTGTTGATAAAAAAAATTTGTATTGCTACTAAATTCATTAAAACTAAATATAATTTTGTAAAATTTTAAATGGATAAATATTAAACATATTTAAACTTTTCTCAAGTTTATTGAGTTACAAACTTACAACTGTACTTTGTTAAAGAATACAGGCTATATCTATAAAAAAAAACTTTTTATTAATTAAAATAAATTAAAAATAAATTATTAATTAAGTGTTATAAAATTTGTTATTATTACAAAAACATATGCAATAAACAATATAATCGAGTATGGCTGTCGAGAGGGGACCGTCCCTATATAATTAATTTAACGTTGTTTTTACTTGAATATATACAGTATATATATTACATATATTTTATGTCAATGAAATAACAACCGCAATATATAATAATAATTTTTTAAAAGTCGAAGGTCGGATAACCGAGGTGATAAAAGATGCTAATCTATCGCTTCGGAGGTTCCGAGATTAAATTCTGCTCGAATTATAATTTTTTTGAGTTATTGAGTGAAATTTTTTGGACTCTTCCGGGCCTGCCATCATAAGTTTAAGGCTCTCTTAGATTTCTTTCAGACGGGCCATTCTGCTGTGTCACTTACAAGTTAGTCGCGTCCATTCATCTCTACGTTTTTGAGGTGTTTTCACACGGGCAGAGAGATGTAGCACGGACTTACGTGGAATTTAAATTAGACGTAATGTATATTGTATTTCGTCTTTTATACTATGTTTATTCCTTCATGGCTTGTTACTTGCGAGATCTGTAACAAAGTGTAATGGTATCGCTTGGTTTGTATACAGTTTTCTTAAATATTAATACAGTAGTTTCCTAATGTAAACGTCAGTGGTAAATTCTTTAAAATTCTCAAGTAAACTTTGTACTGTAATATGAATATCTACAGTGGCATTATACACGTATCTTATAAATCTCAGGCATTTGTAATCGCTGCCAAGGTAAAAGTTTATTAAATTTTGATTCTTTTAGTTACAATTCGATGATAATTGTAAAAACAGAAATAGCGAGCGTTTCTTAACATTTATCTTATTGCACGTGTAATTGTATTTTACATAAGTATAAAATAGCAGAGCAGTTAATTCCAATCACGATCTTCATAGTTTAGTATAGAACTCAAGTAAAAACATTGTTCTCCATCCTATTTATGCTAGATGAACAGAGTGTCTGAAATCTATGCAAGTTAGACTAGAGCATCGGTTTGAACCAATTTGAAATTTTTTCTGGAATTTCTTCACGTGTCTAACACCTTAATAGGGACCAGTTTCCATAGAAAGTCCTTCCAGGAGGCAAGGCGTTGCCTCATTTCTTTCAATCTAATCCAATCCCTCGTGGTTCACCCAAAGGGATTTTTGAAAAAATGGGAATTTGATATTTTATATCAAGCAAGTAAATACAGTCGACCCCCTATAACGTGGGTTCCTATAACGGAAATTCCTATAACGTAGCGAAAAAATTGCGGCAATATCCGTATAAAGGGACTCGTAAAACGTCGTCGCCGACTCGTGTCGCGACAGGATTGGTCGAATCTGGGCCAATAGTGGACGAGCAGCCGAACTACTTTCCGCCGTCCAGCGCCACGCTACGGAGAGTTTAGGCGGGTAAATTGAGTTTACTATCGTCTGTACAGTATTATATATAAATCAGTGGCGGCCTTAGGGGGTGGCGAGCAGGGCAATCGCCCAGGGCCTCGCTCTTGGAGGGGCCTCGCGCAACAACCAAGTAGAAAAAAGTTGATATTTAAAACTTTTTATTTTATCCTTGGCTATTAGTTATAACAATAAAATAAATTTAATTCATAGTACAGTATATATTAATATTAATAAGTGCCTACTATTTCAATTCACATACTTTGCACAAAGGACAAGGGCCTCGCAAAGATCTGCCGCCCAGAGCCTCGCAATGGATAAGGCCGCCGCTGCNCAAATGGGTTTTTAAAAATATTATAAGTGTCAATAAAGAGTAAAATTTTCATTGACCAACCCCACTCGAGATATGATACGTGACCCCTCTCCATCTCCCCACTCCCTTGAATTCCGAAATTTAATAGCATCAATGTTTCTTCTATACAAGTTACCGTACCATATTTCGTTTCTTAATCTTTAATCCATCCTGAGATATTAAACGAGACAGATGCCAACACACACCTAAGGAATTTTCCCTGAATTTTGACTTTTTTAGGTTCAAGAGATACCATAACGTCTAGTCAAATTTGACACAATTACAATACTTTCCCGTGTTATGCTATAACAGCCAGAAAAGTAAAATCACGAGAGATTGGAACGGATTCGAACTTAGATCTTCCTGCTTATCACACGATGTATACGATGTATGTATAAGATGGTATTTTGGTGTTTCTCACGGGACAAAAACTATCAAGGCTTCTGAGAAGTTGAGAGACACTCGGACCACTCACTTTTTTTGTGGTCTCTCTAGTATATAAAAAAAGAATATGGAAATAATAAAATTTGACAAAAATAAAGGATTATTTTCTTAATACCTTTAAAAAGAAATGCAATGGAATGAATAATGTGTAAAAAATGTTTTTGGGGCCCCAGAAATATGAAGTCTGGGCCAAATTGCCTTGCTGACTTCTATGAGAGGGTCTAGAAAAACAATTTTTGTTAGGAAATTTTTCCTAACATAAAAAAAGTCAGCAACGAGTTGCGTAACTTTCCCAGAAAAAAAAATTTTAATTGTAGTGGCGTCATCTGTTATAATATTTTATTTTTAAAAACTTTTTATATTATTAATTATTATAAAATGACAAAAAAAAAGTTCATTTTAGGGTAGCGATGAGTTTTATAAAAAAATTTAAAAATTGTAAATGCTAATAACGAATAAAATTGTCATTAAGTCCGACCCCACTCGTGATACGACATATGATCATCCTCTATCTCCACATCCTCTTGACTTTTAACCTCCAAAATTTAATGGCATCAATCACTCTAATACACAAACCTCTTTGCAAAATTTCAGAAATTTTCGACACAAAGCACAGGAGTTATTAAGCTTTAAAGTGGGTAAACAAAGTTGTACCATCCACACGCAAAATCCCGTGAATTCTTTGATGTTATGTGGATAAATAATTTATCTTTGGATGAATAATTATTTTTGCATTTCTCGATGTTTCAAGGTCCCCGAGTCCAGAAATGTAAAAATCTTGATGGAGGGTCAATTTTTCTGAAACGAAACAGAATAAAAATTATTACATTAATTATTGAACACAAATACAAATTTTTAAATTAATTTTTACAAATTAATTTCTGAAATCTTTACATTGAAACTACTGAAACTACTCTTGTTCTGTGTAAATCTCAATTATTTTAATAATTAAAAAACCATATACAGACATTTTTTCTTGTTATCTAAACTCAAATTTAATAAATGCAATAATTCCTAATTAGAAAAAGAAAACATTCATTTCAATAGAAATATAAATAAACGATTTCAAAATGGATAAAACTCGAAAAGAATATATCAAATTCGGATGGAGATTTATGCAGTGAGTGGAAAATTCGATACTATCTTGGGAAAGGCAACTGCAAGATTTAATGTTAGCTAGGTGGATAATCGATGCAAAGGGGAAAGTTCAAGTAAACAGTTTAAATAAATGGATATTATTTTCTCTTTATTCGATACTCTTTTTTTGTTTCTTGCAAAATTTCTTCTCAAAAATATTTTTTTAATATATATATAATGTATATATATTTTAATAAATTATATAAATATACTGTACAAAGAACTAAAGAATCATGATGTATTGTGTTCATATATATAAGGTATAAGTTATGTACATTTTTGATATTTTAATTTATTGTTTAATATAATTTTTCATCTTCATTATTTTAAAATTTATGTTTATTTCAGTTGTATAAAGAATAATAAAATATATTGTTTATTTTTAATTTTATAAATTGTTATTTCACTTGCTTCATTTGTGTTTTAACATTCTTGAAAATTTTAAGATATTTTTTTATAATTATTATAAATAATTTCAAATGTTTGCTGTCATTTTAATAATATTTTATATGTTTAATGCTTCTCTTATTGCCTCTATATTTTATATTTCTATGTCTCTCCTTAATCTTAATTTTTTTTAGATCTTTAAATGCTTTTAGACCTATTTAAAAGAATTTTTAAGCATAAACCCTTTCTGATATCTTTCTAGATATATTCCTGATGCTTTCCTGATGTCAGGAATAGCAAAGGATCCAGAAAAGCGTTAGAAATCTAGGGAAGAAAAGAACAGGGCATATCCAGATGTCATCTTTCTGGATCCTCTGGAAAGACATATGGATATAAAATATAAAGTTGATAAAATTATAAAACGTTAAAACACAAATGAAGCAAGTGAAATAACAGTTTATAAAATAAACAATATATTTTATTATTCTTCTTCCTGATTTCCAGAATATCCAGTGGCATATGCAGATGTCTTCCTCCTGGATCCCAGAAGATGCAGGAAGAAGACATCCGGATATGTCTTTATCTGGGATGTTTTAATTAAATTAGAAGCTGTATATAATATAAACAAGATGAAATATATTCAGACAAATACAGAATTTATAAAATAAAAAGTTTTTCCTTCTCAAAATAAGTTTATCCTAATTAATCCTGTGAGACATTTACAGAATTATGCCAGAATATTTTTTTAATCCTACCTTACTTAATTCGTTTCAATATAATTGCACGGAAAGAATAAGTATAAAATTTCCAAACTAATGGACATAACTTCTAATTATTTATTAATATTAAGTCTTATTTCTTTTAGGTACTGTAAAGGGAATTTCTGTAAAACCAGGAATTTGGCTTGTATCGGGTAGAAGAGCTAACTGGGTTGAAACTAAATATGATATCAGTCTAGAGCAAAATACTTATAATTACGTTAATATAAATAATGCACATAATATTAATAAAAAGCGCTTTGACATCCCTGGTTGTGGAATGAATTCATGCAATGAAGATAATAGTGACAAATATGAAGCACAGGATTGCAATGAAAATATAGAAAATACTTCAAAATGTGATGAAAATTTAAGTTATCATAATGTAAAAATACCAGATAAAAGTATTAAACATGTTGAAACATGTATAGACAAGAAATCGTGCCTCACTACAAAACCTAAATCAAATTCCTGTGCAAGCAAATCTATTATCTCGAAATTTGATATGTTAAATCACTCTAGAATAAGCTTATTAGATGAATATAAATCGAATATTTCGGATCATATTGCATCTATTGATGATAAATCATCTATAACTGGTCCTTTCAAAATGGAGCAATCAAAATGCCCATCTGAAAATGATTTTGGTTCTCTGGAGAACTTGAATGCAAAAGAAGATTATAAATCAATTCCTTCTCAAATATACTCCATAAAAAATGACAAATAAGATTAATCTCCATTATAAATATAGTTGAAAAAATGTTTTAGATTATTATTTTTCAAAATTACTAAGAATTCTGGGTGATTTTTAAAATATTATTTTATAAAATTAATTATAATAAGAAGGTAAATATTTCATTAAAAATTTATTATATATATTTATCTCATGAGAAATATCAAAATTTATTAAAATAATTGTTTATTGTTTTGTTGATAAAAAAAATTTGTATTGCTACTAAATTCATTAAAACTAAATATAATTTTGTAAAATTTTAAATGGATAAATATTAAACATATTTAAACTTTTCTCAAGTTTATTGAGTTACAAACTTACAACTGTACTTTGTTAAAGAATACAGGCTATATCTATAAAAAAAAACTTTTTATTAATTAAAATAAATTAAAAATAAATTATTAATTAAGTGTTATAAAATTTGTTATTATTACAAAAACATATGCAATAAACAATATAATCGAGTATGGCTGTCGAGAGGGGACCGTCCCTATATAATTAATTTAACGTTGTTTTTACTTGAATATATACAGTATATATATTACATATATTTTATGTCAATGAAATAACAACCGCAATATATAATAATAATTTTTTAAAAGTCGAAGGTCGGATAACCGAGGTGATAAAAGATGCTAATCTATCGCTTCGGAGGTTCCGAGATTAAATTCTGCTCGAATTATAATTTTTTTGAGTTATTGAGTGAAATTTTTTGGACTCTTCCGGGCCTGCCATCATAAGTTTAAGGCTCTCTTAGATTTCTTTCAGACGGGCCATTCTGCTGTGTCACTTACAAGTTAGTCGCGTCCATTCATCTCTACGTTTTTGAGGTGTTTTCACACGGGCAGAGAGATGTAGCACGGACTTACGTGGAATTTAAATTAGACGTAATGTATATTGTATTTCGTCTTTTATACTATGTTTATTCCTTCATGGCTTGTTACTTGCGAGATCTGTAACAAAGTGTAATGGTATCGCTTGGTTTGTATACAGTTTTCTTAAATATTAATACAGTAGTTTCCTAATGTAAACGTCAGTGGTAAATTCTTTAAAATTCTCAAGTAAACTTTGTACTGTAATATGAATATCTACAGTGGCATTATACACGTATCTTATAAATCTCAGGCATTTGTAATCGCTGCCAAGGTAAAAGTTTATTAAATTTTGATTCTTTTAGTTACAATTCGATGATAATTGTAAAAACAGAAATAGCGAGCGTTTCTTAACATTTATCTTATTGCACGTGTAATTGTATTTTACATAAGTATAAAATAGCAGAGCAGTTAATTCCAATCACGATCTTCATAGTTTAGTATAGAACTCAAGTAAAAACATTGTTCTCCATCCTATTTATGCTAGATGAACAGAGTGTCTGAAATCTATGCAAGTTAGACTAGAGCATCGGTTTGAACCAATTTGAAATTTTTTCTGGAATTTCTTCACGTGTCTAACACCTTAATAGGGACCAGTTTCCATAGAAAGTCCTTCCAGGAGGCAAGGCGTTGCCTCATTTCTTTCAATCTAATCCAATCCCTCGTGGTTCACCCAAAGGGATTTTTGAAAAAATGGGAATTTGATATTTTATATCAAGCAAGTAAATACAGTCGACCCCCTATAACGTGGGTTCCTATAACGGAAATTCCTATAACGTAGCGAAAAAATTGCGGCAATATCCGTATAAAGGGACTCGTAAAACGTCGTCGCCGACTCGTGTCGCGACAGGATTGGTCGAATCTGGGCCAATAGTGGACGAGCAGCCGAACTACTTTCCGCCGTCCAGCGCCACGCTACGGAGAGTTTAGGCGGGTAAATTGAGTTTACTATCGTCTGTACAGTATTATATATAAATCAGTGGCGGCCTTAGGGGGTGGCGAGCAGGGCAATCGCCCAGGGCCTCGCTCTTGGAGGGGCCTCGCGCAACAACCAAGTAGAAAAAAGTTGATATTTAAAACTTTTTATTTTATCCTTGGCTATTAGTTATAACAATAAAATAAATTTAATTCATAGTACAGTATATATTAATATTAATAAGTGCCTACTATTTCAATTCACATACTTTGCACAAAGGACAAGGGCCTCGCAAAGATCTGCCGCCCAGAGCCTCGCAATGGATAAGGCCGCCGCTGC